AGAATGAGTACATGAGACACTTTACTTACATTATATATTTTAATCCTTGCAACAGCTCAGTAAGGTAACTATGAATATGCCCATGGAAACTGACAAAGCTAATCAACAACCAGAATTGAAACAAAGGTCAAATGACTTCCAAGCTGATCTTCTTGTCATTAAGTCATGTCACTGTTTGCTATCTGAATAGTAAAGTGAGGCTCTTGATTGTACTCAGAAGCTCACTTTATCACAAGCTGTCTCGCTGGTTTTTCTACCCCATCCTCTCCCTTACCTAAGCGTGGGTTTAATTCTTGTAACATGCATATGGTTAGGAGTTATTTGGATACTTTGTCATGGATTCCTTTTGCATTCCCCATAGCACCAGGGATTGTGTAAGGCCATTTTAGACATGTTACCAATATTTGTTGAGGTGAGTTGATTAAACAGATAGATAACACAAATAAGGAAATCTAGGAAGCCCTTGAGAGGACTTGCTGGTTATGGATTGAATGATGATATGGTTTGGCTCTGTGTCCCCATCCAAATCTCATCTGGAATTGTAATCCCCACGTTTCATGGGAGGGACCTGGTGGGAGGTGTTTGGATTATGGGAGCAGTTTCTCCCATGCTGTTCTCATGATATAGAGTTCTTATGAGAACTGATGATTTTAACGTGTGGCACTTGCCCTTTGCTTGCACTCTCTTGCCTGCCACCGGGTAAGACGTTCCTTGCTTCACCTTCTGTCATGATTGTAAGTTTCCTCAGACCTCCCCAGCCATGTGGAACTGTGAGTCAATTAAACCTCTTTTCTGTATGGATTGCCCATTGTCAGATAGTATCTTTATAGCAGTGTGAGAATGGACTAATACAAATGGAATCTACTGGTGGAACAAATGTGGAGTTGGAGTCATCACCATATATTCCTTACAAGGAAATGCTTGAAGGGAATAGTATAGTTACGTGTAAAATTTAACCAGCCAACTCAAAATTTACTCAAGGAAATTTCTGGAAATTGACTTGTGGTAAAATACTTCGTTATTAGATTACCAAGTCCTATCAAAAACTCTCCTATTGAAATAAAATCTTATCCTCAGGTTACTTGCGGCTTCTGAGCATTTTTGTGAATTTGCATTGATTCTCAATGACTTCCTACATGTAAATCACTTTCAAAAAAACTAGCTGACTATTGAATGGGAAAACCATATATTGAGTTGGTAATTCATTTCTAAACATCAGTTAAGAACACTAAAATGAGGGAAAACAACTATATGTAAGTTACATCACTTAATAAGACTGTAAATGAAGAAAACCAATTCTATTTTTAGGAATTAAATCAGCTTATACTTATAAATACTTAATATTCAATGCTTTTACTGAGCAACTACTGTATAGCCAGGTATTTTTTAGGTACTAGAAATACAGTGGTTAAAAAAAAAAACAAAACACTATTCCTTTGTCCAATAAAGATACATTTTAGTAGGGAATCGACTGCAAGTAAATATATAAGAACAAATTGTGACACAATGGTTTTTTAAAAAGGGAGAAATTATGAGGGGAGGAGTTAGAGGTCAGGGTATGCTACATGAATAAATTATGTTTAAATTTGAATCTAAAGGTGTTACCCAAGCATAGCGTGGTAATTATGAGGTTCTAGTGGAAGGAGGATAGGGGAGCAGGGGAAGACAAGTCTAGTGGAGGGAAGAGCAAAGGTGAAATCTCCCTCCCATTCTAAAGTAGAAGAAAGACTGACTGGATTGAGGAACTCCAGGATGGCTGCAGTAAAGTGAGCATTCAAGGCCCCAAATAAAAAGAGTAATCCACATTTGGTAGGCAAACCAAATAAGGTAGAGTGAGTGACGGTGGCTATTGAACATACATTATGATGTGTGGTTTTTGTTTTGGGGTTTTTGTTTGATTGATTTTAGGTGATAGACCTGATTTGATTAGGTATCTCTGTTTTCTTTTACAAAGTCCTAATGAGTTCATTTATTTCATCATTTAAAAATAAGGTTTGTGTTTCTGGGCCATGAGACAGGTGGCTTGCAAGATGCATCCTGGTCTGGTTTGGTTTTCATATAGCCTAAGACATTCGAAAACATGTTGCTGGATTTCTTGGGGAAGAGGAAATAGTCTGGCTTTTTGAGGACCAGACGGCAGTGAGGAGAATCCTCTGGCCCAGAAGGGGATGGAGGTTTGAGGAGGCCACTCTTCTGAGGGATGACTGTGTGTTATACACACACAGGTTACTGGAACCTTAAGAACGCAGCTCCAAAGCTTGCCAGAGAAGTAAGTACCCCAAGCTTGACAAGTAAACTAGAGAATCTTGTACATTAAAGGAGAGAATCTGCTTTGTCCCCATTTTAGAGCAAACTTAGAACCTCTGCAAAAATGGGGCTGGGGGTGGGGTAAAAAATGACTGATAAATTAGATGCCCCACATGTTGGGGAATTGAAAAAGGTTTTAGGTAGAAAATAAATTGATATTCCTTTTAAGGCTCAATGTTTGAATCAAAATTCGTATGTGCTGACCTTATTTCAGATCCACTATCCTCCTGAAACCTGCTTTGGTGTACACAAGGGCATCATGACTGAGGGAAGCAGACCTGACTCTGGGATCAAATGAGCCCAGTTTGAAATTTTAATTTGGTACATATGTGGATGTCAGAGTTTTTATGTGCAAAAATGTGGCTAATGACATTTATTTCACTGGATTGTTGAGAGGGTTAGAAATAATAAATATACCCATGTTGTGTGTAGTGTATAGTCAGTAAATGCTGTTATTATACCTATTACTTCTTTACTACTACCTGTAACACTTTTACTATGATCCAAGCGGCATTTGTGGATGCCAAATGCATCCAGAAAAATTCCTGAAACAGTGTTGTCTACATAATTAATTTGAATATTATTGATAATCTTTGATAGTAACCAGACACTAATAACTTTCAATCATAGTGATGCTCGTTAATTTATTAGCTACTCTTAACAGTTATTTCCCAAGTGTCTCAAGTGTTGTACCTGTAACATAAACTCTGAAGCAGGAGATTATAATTTGTACTTCTTGGTAATTCATTGATGATTAGTCTAGTGTCTCATGTATAGTACATACTCAGCAAATCCTTGGCACCTGGTGTTGCAAAACTATGGTTCCTCACAATTTAGTAGAATATTAGGGGACAAATATTTTCAATAAAATTTTGGCAATCTGGAATTAGGAAAAGTACTGCATTTTAATCTACATTACTTCCTTATTTCTTGAAGAACTATAAGATACTCCCAGTCTGGAACAAGTGAGTTTCATGCTTCATCACATCCAAATCGGCGTGTGTGTTGTTTCTTACCAAGTAGGCTGAATGTTAAGGTAGATGCAACTATGGAAACCAGAGTGAAGGCAAGCAGACCAATGAAGAGAATCACTGTTCCTTCATCTGTTGTATCAATATTTTTTCAGAGCTTTTGAACCCAGAGTATCAAGGCAGAAGTCATTATGCTCTTTAATTTAATTAAATAGGATTTAATACTTTTCAAGTAATATCCTGATATATATTTCAGGAAAATATAACAAAGAATCGATTTTGTAGAATTCAGTTAGCTAGGGGTTAAATTCTACCCTAGCAACAGAAACTTTACAGCTGCTGTCAGAAACAGTAATTACTCTGGTCAACATTCTCTAAGAAACTCCAGCTGTCTTATCAAGCTTGCCTTGTCAGAAAGTCTCCTTTCCTGTTAGGGGCATCAGTTGTAGAATAACCATGATGGTGCCAATGAAAGAGTTGAAAAAAATGTTTTAGAAGCCATAGTGTGGCATACATATATATATACACACACACACACACACACAACACACATATATATATATAGCTTAAATTTAAAATTCTGATAATATCCACTGTGTTTTTAGACAGCACTGAATTTTTTTTTAAATTATTATTATACTTTAAGTTCTAGGGTACATGTGCACAATGTGCAGGTTTGTTACATATGTATACATGTGCCATGTTGGTGTGCTGCACCCATTAACTTGTCATTTACATTAGGTATATCTGACAGCACTGAATTTTAAAGAAAGTACAAAAATGAGAATTTTTCTCTCTGAAACAAACTCCTAAGAAATTAATACTAATGATGGCCTTCAATGTACATCTCAACCCACCTGACAAACATAAGCTGAAGATAGTAGCAACTTATATCCCGGCGGCTCCAAGATGTTATCACCTCAATGTGACATCCTATGAATAGGACCTTAGCTTTAGGCCTAGTCAGAGGTCACAAATGATTCATATTTTTAGTGTAAATATTCATGGGATTTCTCATCATTCTTAGAGATATGGTTCTTCAGAGATGGCTTTTAACTCATACAATTACTTACCATGGTATTTCTGCTTTTCTAGTGGTGGGGAAACTTTAGGAAGGAGGAACTAGGGACTAATGAGCCTATACTCATGACAAAAAGGGATATATGAGGAAATGAATGAGTGGTTGGTGTTAACGGAACTTATTAGAGTACAATTAGAATTGAGACCCTATGTTATAGCACTTAGTAGGAGAAAGTTTCAGTAGAAAATTAGAGCTAATTATTACCATCCCCATTTTACCTAAAATAAAACTTCAACTTTTTAACCTGAGTTAATTTCCATGATTGGTGCTTAAACACTTTTTTAGCATCATCCCATGCCATGCTTAGACACTGACACCTTTTCTAATTCTCAAACTTACCAAGCCTGTTCTTAACTTAGGCACTTTGAGCTAGCTGTTTTGGGGGTTTTCTTTCTCACATTGCTGTTCCCTCTGTCCATGTTGCCATCTCCTGATCTTTGTATAGCTGGCTCCTGCTTACAATTACAATTTCATCTTAAATGCCTCATCTCCCAAGGGGTCTCACTTGATCATCATACATAAGGTTGTCATCCACTAGCTTTCTATCTGCCTTAATTATCTATATGACGTTTACTATTACTTCTTTCTTTTAAATGGACTTGATTATCATCTTCCTCCACTTGAAGATAAGCTCCACAGAAGCAAGGATCTGGTTAGTTTTATTCACTTTGATATCAGAAATTACAATGATGCCAATTATCAGTAGACACTAAATTTGTCTTTGAAGGGGGGAGTGAATTTAAGAACACAAGTTACCTTAGAGATTTTTAGTCATGGCATCCTTAAATTGAAATCCATAGGTTATATAAACATTTTCATATGAATAATGCCTTATTTTCTCTGAAGATGAACCATGGTTTTCAACAGAGTCTCAAAGGGGTCTCAGACCTATTGTTTCTCTCAAGCTGGGTTTCCTAGAAGTGGTTCTGAGATGAGAAATCATGTAAAAGTGGTGTGTTAAGAAATGTTTGTAGGAAAAACAGGTTGTCAAGTAGGAAGCAAAGCTGGGAACGGAAGGAGAGCAAGCAAGGGTGTGGCATCAAACCAAGTCCCACTGGGGAGATTTAAAGACAAGTGGCCTCATTCAGAGCTGTATCAAGGGCCTAAGGAGTTTACACCTCCAAATCCTTAGTCATTGGCTCATGGTTTCCCTGGAAAAGGAGAGGGTGTAATTCTGGCTCTTTCAGTTTGCACATAAAGCAGTATCAGGAAGCCTGTGAGTGGCCCTGCAATGAAAGGAGGTGCGTTCGAGCTATTAGCAGTAAAATTTCCTGAGATCTCATGTTCATGTTCCTGAGATCTCATAATCACGGACTCATGATCTTCCACGTTGCAGAGGCTGTGAGTGGAACACTCACAGTATATGCTACAGCTCCTTCAAAAGAAAAACAAGTAGTTTAATAATTATCACTCAATCTATTCTAATTCTCTCATTCTATAAATTGGGAAAATAAATTCTACTGAAGAAGTGAGGTGGTTTTCTAATAATTCATTGGTAAAATTTGTTTGGATCAGATCCAAGGTTGAAAGACTATCATTATTGAAAACTCAATAAATAATTATACATATATATATACACATAGATTTTTATTAAATGTAACATTTCTTCCTAGAAGTTATAGAAAATACAGTATCAATAAATTACTACCTTGTCCTCAGTGATTCTGTAGTACAGTAAAAGACAAAAGATGTATATCAACAAGGAGCACTATAAAATGTGATCACATAAGAAGGAATACATTTTTACAGAGATACAGAACAGAGAGTAATCACATCCAGCTTAGGGATTCAAGCAAGGGTTCACTAAAGTTGAGACCCTTAACCTCAACATATCCTTCTTGTTAAAAGAAAATATGTTCATTCAGAGATATTTAAACGAGTGTCAGCTATATTCTAGACAGAGTAATGAGCACTGAGAATATAGTACAAATGAAAAAGGCAAAGTTCCTACTCTCATCTAGTTTATATGTATTTGGATAAAGAACAATGATGACTAGGAAGAATGACAAACGAGAATGTCAAATACTGACAAGAAGTATAAAGCAAGGATAAATGAAGAGAAGTGAAGAGAGGAAAGTTGACACTGGTTTAGATGTAGTGATTAGGGAAGATTCTTCTGACACTACAAATTTGAATTGAGACCTGAAGAATGAAAGGAGCCAGAAGCAGGGAGGAACACGCATAGGAGAAAAGAAATCCAAATATAAACGGCAAGTTCAAAGGCTCTGAGGCATGAACAAGCTTGGAATATTCAAGAAATAAAAAGACAGTGAGTTTGGATTTCAGTAGTCAAAGAGGAACCCAGTATAAGATTATTTTAGAGAGATTGGCAGGGTCTTGTAGCCCAGAGTGAGGAGTTTGCCTTTTAAGTGCAGTGGTTAAACATGACATTGCTCATGTTTTAAAACCTCTGTGTACCAACTATTAGAAACTGGAATTTAAAATTTAAAAACATGCTATTTAATTAGCATCAAAAATTTACTAATTAGTTATATGTGTAATAAAATATGTTCAAGATCTGTAGGAGGAAAACTAAAAAAAAACAAACAAAAAAAAAAAACACTGGTGAGAAAATCAAAGATCTTGATAAATCTAGAGGTATTCCATTTTTATAGACTGGAAGACTCTATATTGTTAAGATATTAGTTCTTCCCAGCTTGATCTATGAATTCTGTGGTATCCTAATTAAAATTCTAGCAAGCTATTTTTTTTAGATAACAACAAACAGACTGTATTATTTATGTACAAATATAAAGGAAATAGAATGACCAACACAATGCTGAAGATATAAAACAAAATTAGGAAACTGACACTATCCTACTTTAGGACTTACTATAAAGCTGCAGTAATCACAACACCTTGTTATCGGTGAAAGAATAGACACATAGATCAATGTAATAACATAGGGGCCTCAGAAATAGACTCTTACAAATTTGTTTAACTTATTTTTAACAAAGCCAAAAGGCAATTTGATGGAGAAAGGATAATCTTTTTAACCAATGTTACTGGAACAATTGAATGTCAATATAAAAAATTTGTACCTAATCACAGGTATTACACGTTACACAAAAAACAATTTTAAATGACCTAGAAATTTAAATGTAAAATAAAAAATATAAAACTTCTAGAAGAAACCATAGGGGAAAAAAATCTATGTGAACTTGGGTTTGGTGATGACTTCTAGATACAACTCCAAAAGCATAATTCATAAAAGAAAAAAATATGATAAATTGAACTGTATTAAAATTAAAAACTTTACAGATGACACAGAAGATCTCTTGGTTTCTAATACTATTCTCCAATAAAAGAATACAGATCTCTTTGAATAAAAGCCTCTTCCAGGGCTGGGGCAAGGTATACACAAACTGAGCCTAAAAGCATATTGTAGTGCCAGAAATTAAGGAAGTGCTGAACACACACACACAAATGAAATTAAACTCCTGCACAATGATGGAGTATGCCAAAAGGCATAGAACCCAACTGACAGAGCTCCCAATGGCCACAGCTGGAACAATTTGAGGGGGAAAATAAATAATATACTGTTAGATTATAACACAAAGTATAAAATAAAAATCATTTAATCTGTACTTATATAAATGATTAAATGAATGAATGGGAAATGAGAGACATAGTTCCTTTGCAGATGAATTCCAAATACTTTTTGTAGATACTCACCCTCAAGTCAGGGGTGGTTGGAGTATAATTCTCCACCCTTCATGTTGGCTGCTCGTGGTGACTTCCTTTCAAATAGTGCAGTATACGAAGGAGGAAACAGAGTACAATGATAGTGGATAAACATGACAGACACTACCTCAGCCAGGTAATCACAATTTAGGCCCAAAGTGATATCATGTTGGTATCATGGACCTTTGCTATGATATGATGACAGTGGAACCTGACCTCTGTGGCTTTTCCCCCAAAACCCTAGTTTAATCATAAGAAGAAAAAAATAACTCCACCAATCCAGGGCTATTTTACAAAATGTCTATCCAGTATCCCCTCAAAACTCTCAAAGTCATCAAAACAAACCAACAGAAAACTTAGATAAACGTATCAACTAAATGTAATGAGATATCCTGGAATCAAAAAGGAAATAAAGTAAACTGTAAAGAAATTTGAATAAAATATGAACTTTTGGAAATAATGTATCAACATTGGTTTAGTAGTTATGACAGATGTACCATACTAACATAAGATGCTAATGATAGGGGAAACTGGGTGTGGGGTGTGGGGGAACTCTTGTTACTATCTACATAACTCTCCTATAAACCCAAAACTCTTCTAGGGCAATGTTTACTAAAAATTCTGTGGTGTTATAACCAAAAATAGGAAATAAAAGTCCATTCAAAGTAAAATGGGTATGCAAATTTAGGTCCACACTCATGATGGAATACTACACTGCATTAAAAATAACACACTTCTGATGCATGCAACAATACAGATACATTTCAAAATATTTTGTTGAGGATAGAAGCCAGAGAATCCAGAATCAAAAGAGTGCATACACCATGATTTCATTTATATAAAATTCAAGAATAGGCAAAGCTAATTCATGTAAAAGTAATCAAAATGACGATTGCTTCTGAGGAGTAGGGATTGAAAGAAGGCATGAGAGAAATTTCTAGAGTGTTGGAAATGTCTTGTATCTCACTTTTGGTAGTAGTTGATGAAGTATATATTTATCAAAACTCGTTGAATTGTAATTTTACAATCTGTTCCTTTCATGGCATGCAAATTTTACTTCAAAAATGCCTACATTTAAATTTTATAAAAATACTTGGGCTACAGAGAAGAGAATGAGTTTCAAGGAGCAAGGATACTACAAAAGAGATCATTTAGGAAGTTACTTCAGAAGCTAAAGGAGAAATGATGGTGACTTTTCATCGTGATATAATAGAGAATGAGATAAATGTATGTTTTTAGATATATTTTGGAGCTGGAGGCAACCAGGATATGCTGTTTTAGTAGATACAAAAAGAAGAAATTCTTATAGAAGGAACTCTGAGCTCAACTGACAGACCCAAATATGAGTTTCAGCTTTGCTATCTTTTCAATTTTGTGATCATCCACAAATAGCTTAATCTATCTGTGCCTTTAATATCTCATTTTTAAGTGAGCTGATTAGACTCATTCTATGTAGCTCATAGGTTATAGAATGTGTATGTGGAAACAGTTTGTACATTGTAATACATCGCATATATTAAACTTACTAAATACATTATGTAAGGAATATATAAGGAAAATATATCATGGATTACTTAATCATCAACCACAAACAGATAAACTATTCTGACTTAAACAGCTCTATTTCTTTGCACTAATACTTTATTTATTTGACTTACTACACAGCTCAATTTCTTTTTAGTTGGGATACCCCAACTAAAAATCTCAACTATGAGCATTAAGAATCTGAGACTACAGATCAGAAAAAAAATGTTGTGTACATGGTAAGAGATTAAAGTTTCAGTACTGAGGACATTATGTTATACAGTGTCTAAAAGTTCAAAATTCCATGGACAGATTTTACTGAGACATGATGACACCTCAAACAAACTTAGTTTAGTTTACATTTTGCAAGTAAGCATGGAAAGCATTGTTATATCTTCAGAACGACTTAACCAAGGCTATGCCACTCTAAATCTATGCTCAAAACTCTCATGATAAATCCAAGAGAATATCCAATCAAATGTTAGTCTACTAAGGTTTCCTAGGCAACTTACACACAGAGAAATGGATTGTACACAGTTCAGAAAAAGAAATGCTGTAGCAATTTCACCTTACTGAAACATTCCCTTTCTAAAAAGATTACACACACACACACATACACACACACACACAACTAATTATTTGGAAAATAAAAAAAGGACCATCAAAGCAATGAGGCAAAGGACCTGAACACTCATTAGAATCTGTGAGTACCATTGTCTTCTAAACTATGGTTGCAGATGATAATACAGCAAATAGTGATGTGATCTGAAAAAATGTGTTTAACTTCCTAGGAATGCTCCTTGGGATAGCATCCTTGTTCTGTTCTCATTCTAAACTGAGAATTGTTAAATTATATTTGTACAAAAACCTGATTGGGTGGGTATTCAAAAATGTGTATTTATTTATTTATTTGCAGAATGTAGAACATGCTCAAGTCAGAGAAGGTGTTAAATAAACCTGGTTGCATTAACTGAGAAATAGCACTGAAGTTCCTGATTTTATAATGTCCTATTCTATCCTCAACTCAAGGCACACTTATGATTAGCTCACTGGGTGACCAATAAGCAGCAATATTCTTGGCCATTTCCCCTTTTCTAATTTGACTCCACTGTGTCTATATCTAGAATACAATCAATTTGTCTAGTTAAGCTTAAGTAGATGAAATGAATCCCTTCCTCTCGCCATTATATTCCAGTATGTGGATTTGGCACTTTGAGAAAAGGTGAAACTGGGTGGTTAATTCATTTAATACATATTTATTTAGTATTTAGTAAGAGCCAGGTAATGGAAATGTTGATTGGTATGCTAACTAATTTTGTACAAATACTTAACATCTAAAATTCATTGTAAATTGTGCCTAGCCAAATCTAACAGACTTCTTAGATTTGGAAGTCTGGAAAGAACTCTGCTGGTATGTGGCAAGATTCAGGATTTCTAAATCCTTGAATGCTGTCTCATCAGCAATCACCATGATAGATTAGAAACCGAATGATGCACAGAATACTAGCCAGTCAAATGCATTTTCTTCATTACTACCTAGGATTTAACTCTCAGTCTTATTTGATCTCTTGCCCTCATATACCACACGTGTGCCTCTAGAATTTCTAAAGGCAGGTTGAATGATCAAATCTAGCCTAGAAGACGGTTGAAGTATTAGAATATAAAAGTTGTTAGATGGAGTTCATATCTGCTTATTTACCCCTGTATTCTGAGTGCCCAGCGCTGAAGCTGAGTTTAAGTTTTGTTGGGTGAAGACATGAAGGTAAGCTGCTTCATGCCTCTTTTCCTTAGAATCTCATTTTAGTTGGCCAGGAGAGTGTGGACACTGATTAGGGATCTGAGAGGAAGCCCTCATCTCCATGGAAGGATTAGATGAAGTCACTGCTATTCAAGAGTCATTTACTGTAATTCCTTCATTGAATAGATACAAACAATTATTCCAGGAAGGGCCACGTTTGCTCAAGGTCATTGTATTAGTCTGTTCTCACGCTACTAATAAAGACATACCCAAGACTGGGTAATTTATAAAAGAAATAGGTTTAATTGACTCACAGTTCAGTATGGCTGGGAGACCTCAGGAAACTTATAATTGTGGTGGAAATGAAGCCAACATGCCCTTCTTCAAATGATGGTAGGAAACAAGAACGAAAGCCCAGCGAAGGGGAAAGCACCTTAGAAAATGATCAGCTCTCGTGAGAACTAACTCACTATCATGAGAACAGGATGGAGGAAACCACTCCCATGGTTCAATTATCTCCCCTTGGTCCCTCCCATGACACATGGGGATTATGGGATCTACAATTCAAGATGAGATTTGGGTGGGGACACAGCCAAACCATATCAGTCATATGTCTAATTTGTGGGATATTTTCAAAACTTGTTCCATTTTCCTAGGCCACAGTGTGATTGAAAGGAATTAACAGACTGATTGTTGGATGATGAAATTTAGTGCAGCCTCTTTACAAGGAAATATGCCTGATTCTTCAGAGGACGGAATCTGGACTACTGAGAGTAAATATCTGCATATTAATGATAACAAAAAGGTAATAAAACTGAAAAACATTCATTCTTATGATTTTTAAACCATACTACATTTCCAAATGTTCTGTGGATCTTATTTTTGAAAGTTTTATATGTAAGAATATGTAAAGAGAAATATCTAGAGTGATCTACAATGAAATATTTTCAGAGTTCTCTGGGCAGTAAAATTTTTGGTCATCACCTACTTACTGAACAATAATACTGATTCTAAGACCATTTTTCAGCAACATGTTTATTACCTGTATTAGGTCTAAGATAAATATATGAATATACAATCTCATGCATATAGACATATGAGTTTGTGTATAATACAGTGCCTGGAATATGGTAGGTGTTTAATGTACATTAGAATGGTTTATATGTAATTATGCAGATATGCAAATATTCTTGCATATATACAAACACACTATATAGAATTGATTGTACTGCTTTCAGAGTTTTGGATTTTATGAAAATCTTAAATATTTTATTTGGCTTTATGCATACACCAAAAGATATATCAAAATGAATAATTTTAAAAGGAAAACAAGGCTGCAAATGAAAAGTAAGGCAGGACTGCTGCTCTTCCAAGTATAGCTCACCAAAGCAAAAATCACTAAAGTAATTACAGCCTTGATTATGGTCTTTAAACTGTCAAAATATTCAATTCCAAATACTCTCTATTTTCTCCTGTTTGTGGATTGCCAAAGATAGAGGGAAAAGGATAGAAATATATACTGCCCAATATAGCTATTCTTAGATGATTCTCTCAGGTGGTTAATCACTGGGATTAATTAGCAAGCAGCTACTGTGAGAACTTGATCTTTTTCCTTCATTCTTAGTCTTACATCACCAGGTATTTTCTAAAATCAGCCTGAGCTCATCCATAAATTAAGTATCAAAGCTTGTCACAGGAAAGAATACCCACAGGTATCTATCCTGACAGTAGGAGTCGCGCTTTGTGTGCTAAGTGAGGCAGTGACTCGAAAAATACATTTGTTTCCACCCACACCTTCTCCCACTGACAAATGCTGTGGCTCTCAGGGCCAAAATTCTAGAATTATATTCCAACAAATAGATTTACTAAAAAAAAATTAAAG